CCGCGGCCGTAAAAGAGGAATGAAAAGGGTAAGCTATTAAGACATGCTTTTGGGAGCAATTTAAAATTTTAACGCGAATTAGCCGTTAGCAATGTTTTAAGGTGATCAAGGTGATTGAACGAATTGACTAAGGCCACCGAACATCACCAAGCAACAGTTTCAACGACAAATTTCCTTTCATCGCCATCATTTCATTTCGGTGGAAAAAAAAAGACTTCACACTTGATTCTTTAAAACAGTAAAAAAATTTAATTCAGGAAAACTACACGATGAGGGCGAAGGGGTAAAAAGTTTGGCTATGGATTGAAAAGATCTGTTTTGAACTTTAGCGTCCAACCATTGGAATTCCAAGCTTCTGTTTACCGTTGCTTGTCAGTTTTTGTCGCGTTCTATTGACTTTTGAACGAAATTTCGTTACAGGCAGATCAACGAAACAGCGTCTTGATAAATTGGATGATTTCAAAAGTGAATGTTGACTTGATCTATTCTGGCTAGATTAAGGGGGTGTTATTATCCTTTTCAAACCACTGACTAAATTAAGGTGGAAAGTATAACAGATGGTACGATAATACTTTCAGTATGCTAATGAGAGGAGATGTTTTTGTAGGATCGGCAGACACTGTTTCACTTGGTCTTTCTTCAATACGATTGACTTCGGTCGCCTGTCATGTACCACAAGTTTGAATCCTTTCACTTGCAACCGAACTCATTAAGTCGCTACTTATAAGATCTATTGATCTTGCAGCTAATTCACAAATGTTTACCCGGCATTGTTTATTCGGCTGAGATTAAAACTTTCACGAGAGGCAAGATATGCTAATGGTTGATATTCTAATCCAAACGCACAAATTATTAATCATCATTTGCAACGTTCAGCGGCTGATTTGAAAATCCCTCCCACCCAGTGTTTTGTTCAGCAGTTCTCAGCCTTCCCTTATTTTTATCATTATCTCCTTTTCTCAGTTATCTAATAACAACGTGACAGACCAAGAAGCCGAGAAAAATTCCGACAAAAATAAAACGAATATTTATTACACATTTATGATTTCGAAATTACAACCTGTCTGTCTCCATTAAGTATCGCACTGGCAATGTTCTACTCTCGCTTACGCTTGACACATCAAGAGAAGTGAGGGCGATATTTACATAACAAAAAAGTAGGAGCGATTTTTATGAAACTATTATTGAAGGATATTGCAGTCCATTCAGCGACTAGAAGTTCTGTTTTAATTTAGGTAGTTGCAAGCTATCTTACAAGTGTTTTCTGAAAATTAAAAATAATCCATTTACTGAGAGAAAAAAAGGAATCTTAGGCCCAAAGCTTGGATAAGATAACGATCAAAAAACCAAACAGTTGGTGAAAGAAAGGTTCCTGAGTGGTAACTGGCGCCTCATGGGCGGGATTTTTATTTGCATTACTCAAACAAAACAGTTAATTGCATTGAACTGAAATCAGCCAGGCGGAAAGAGTACCGTTTTTTTGGCGTAAGCAATCACTAGGATGGTTGCTAAAGGTTGGTTGTAAGATATCGGTCAGACATATATTACCAAGATGAATACGATTTTCATTTAAACTTGGTTTACTCAAAGAATGGCTTTTCGACTAAAATCGAAGGTTCATTTTTCAAAAGATTTCAAACTTAACTTCAACGGTCTCGAATAGATGCAAATTACACAGGAATTTGAATGAGGTTTAACCAACCAAAATTGAAGAAGAATTAGGCTGGGGTAAAGGAAGAAAATCGACCAGTTAATTCAAATAGATTTTTAAAAATTGACTGAGTGTAATTGGACACAAAACTTTAATGACGAGGTAATTTCTTACATCAGCAGCCGACTGACATTGATCGGCCTCTTTCCTGACTGATTTACGTCTCAACAGCTCCAACTGTCTATCAGTTGCATACGAATATTACTCCATACACACGAATAGATATCGATGACTATTTAGTAAAGTCGAATGATCTTCTTTCATCTATTTTCAAAGTCTTTATCCCAGCAATAGTGGCTGATTCAGCAGCTTTCAAGCAAGATGTTCATGTTGCCAGTCCGCAGGATTTTAAGAATGTGGTAGAAGTCTCCTCTCTTTCCAGTCAAGATTTCTTGTTGACATTATTATTTTATCCTTTATCGGGATTTATGTTTACTCGTAGACATAAATGTAGTGACGCTTATCTGAATTTTTGCAGGTTCGACCACATTTCAAAGAGGAGCTGCAAGATTTCCAAATCACCAGCAAAGAGGATATCGACATACCACCAGCAGAAGCAAGGACGTTAAAACATTGGAAAGACGACTTCCAATCGTAATTTAAAGAAACCTCTAAAACAGGTAAGCAAAAATTCATATTATTACCGATCAACAAGAAAGCTACCCTACAATATTGTTTTTTCTAGGCAGGAGGTACCATGAAGGAGTCGCCAGTTTTTCTTTTTTTCTATTGTTGCAATGGTTTCTTTCCTTCCTAATGTACATATTTTTGTTGTTGTTGTTTCTTATTTTTGATTTTTCCTTATCATTATATTGCTGACTAGCAGGTATAGGATTTCCTTGTTCCAAAATGGCGCTGAAAATCAGCCATCAGGAGATAACCTTATGCCGAACGTTTCGCCATAGTCTCGCTATGCTTACTATAAGAATAAAATTTCATTTAAGGAAATGATAGGCACAACGTTAACAATCATTCCATTCATCAGTCATGCCGCTGTCGCGTTTTTGTATATTTAATTTCTGCAGAGCAGTGGCGTTAGGGCACCACCCGGCTTCCCAAATGCAATTATAGGTGTAGAACTTGTCCTTGCAAGCTGTGTTCCTTTTAAAACTGTAGTTCATTACACAACCGACCCCTCTAGCCTTTCAACATACTTACCCCACCCCTCCTCCTGAACACTGAAATCTTACTTATACGCAGAATTTTCCCTTTTCTTTCTCCTTCTCATTCCAGATTGCCGTTTCACTATCTACTATATTTGTTTACTGGATGTCAAGTCTAAGTCTTCATATTGTTTAACAACATTTTGGAAAATATCAAGTATCGATGGTCTTCAGAACTAACAACTAATGAAAGAAAGCAAAGTATTAAAAAACTAAAAGATCTTCAAATTAACTTATGGTAGTAAAATTCATGTGAACACAATAAAAGTTATCGCTTTAAAAAAATGAACTTACGTTCTGAGTCTCGATAAATCAGCTACAATTGAGTTCTTATCACCGGCCCACCTCTAAGTCACGACGCAAAGCAAATGATAATAGTAATCCAATAGAAGAGAAGCTATTCAAGATTATCAGGTTACACTATTGATACGAATCAACTTGACATTGATGTGTATCTACTCGTATAGGAAAACATTATTATCAGAGGGTTTCATTGGTGTGATGACTTTTAATTTCTTTCCATTACAGTTAAGAGAATTATTTTTATCATTAATTTTTTTACGACTACAACTTTGTTAATTTTTACGCCAAACGACTAAATTT